AGTTGCTGAGATGGCAGTTGTGTGCCACTATGCCTAGCTTTTTTCTGTTGAAAAGTTCTTAGGAACTTTTTTTGCCCAGGCTGACCTGGAACTATGACCTTCCCAATCTCAGCTTCCCACATTGTTGGGGATAATAGGCACACACACCACTGTGCCCAACTATTGGTTACAGACTTTTTGCCTGGGCTGGCTTCAAACCGCTGTCCTCCAGATCTCTGACTCCTGTGTAGCTAGGATTACAGGCATGAACCACCAGCACATGACTATGACATGTCTATCTTTTTTTTTTTTTTGGTGGAATTGGGGTTTGAACTCAGGGCTTCATGCTTGCAAAGAAGGCACTCTACCACTTGAGCCACACTCCCGACTCATTTTGCTCTGGTTATTTGTCTTGTAAACTGTTTGGCTGAGTTGGCCTTAAACTGAGATCCTCCCAATCTCAGCCTCCCAAGTAGCTGGGATTACAGACATGTACCACTGGTGCCCTGCTATGACATGAGTGTCTTAAGATGAGGAGAAGTGAGATGTCAAGGTGATGAATTTTATAGGTAAAAGCTTTGAGGACAGTTTTGGTCACTTATAACACTATTTCAATATATAGGTAGGAAGTAGACTTTGAAACATTCCACAGTATTTTTCTGTGAAAGAATTTGTAATGAAAAAGTACATAGGCTTTGGAACCAGAAAGTCCATCTCTGCAACATGCCTGCTGGGTTTTCTGAAACAAGATGCATAGACTCTTAGAATGTCAGTTTCCTCATTTGTAAAATGGACTAGTTTGAGATATACTTGGCAAGTTTGTTGTGGGTCTTTGAGACCATGAAATGCCTGGTCAAAGTGTTTATTTAATGCCTTGCTTTATTGTAATGGCTGGCCGGGCAGGCCACCAGAAAACATACTCTGGTGTCATAGAGGGTCCTCTATCTTGGGGTCCCTGGCATTCCTGTGCATCAAAAGGATTTATTGTGGTGTTCTAGTCATATATTCAGAATGGCAAACTCGTCTTTAAACAGAGTTAAGTTGATGTGTTGAACTGGCCGTTTCACTTGGAGGCTAGGGGCAGCTCACCTCTGTTTACCATCCTGGAAGTTCCCCATTTACATGCATCAGCCTCCCACACTCCCTTGAGTCATACTGTGGAGGAGGCAGCCTGGTCAGCTCCTGGCCTTCAGAACCCAAGTCAAGGGCAAGAGCAAGACACTAAGACTGACCCAAAAGTCCCTGAAAGTACTTTGTCATGACCCTGGGACATGAACACTCAAACTCAACGCATTCTAGAATAGTTTCTCTCTGAGTGTCTGGTGATATTTTAATATTATTATGTATTCTCATTGTTACTGGAAGCCTTTTGAAGAGATGGGTTGTTTTGAGAGTAGTGTAATCCCCACTGCACCAATGGGAAAGTTAAGTAGAATCAGAGAGAGAAACTTGACAGAAGCAAAAATGATGCTTCAGAATCCCTAGCCCTTCTGGGTTTCTCCAGTCTAAATTATGCTTTGCTCATTTTACTCGGGGAGTTGCTCTTTCATGGTAGATCAACATCAAACCGCATGGTCCCAAGCCAGGTTCTTAGACAGACTGACTCCCTGCATTTTTCCATTGTCAGAATACTCAAAAATAATTCCTTGATACTGTCATGCTACAGCCAAGTCAAATCTTCAGTACTAGAGACACTCTGAATGTTTGCAGACAGAGCAGGGTTCACAAAGGGCTCTAGTATCTTCATTTGCATGGAGAAGAATCTGTTAATACCCTCAAGAGACACTTTCCACATGTATCTTTTAGAGCCAATGAGACCGAGCCAGAAGTGCTTTCCTGGTTACCTTTCGGTCTATTTAATTAATTCCATTGGTGGAAAAGATTTTCAAACTCTGACCTTATCCTTCTAATTTATATGCACAGATTGTTGAGTTTTCATTTCTAAGAATTATCAACTAGCTTCACATTTCATTTTAGTCCATGAAGAAATAGAAGGTCTTATCAAAACAGCCCTTGTCATCCTTTCTCCTTCCAAGTTCAGACTGAGACCCTGCCATACTGATTACTTGTCCTCACCTTTTGATCACTGACTCCTCCCTGCCCCATTCTAGAGATCAGAAACCCCAGCACCAAGAGTCCCATTCATCTTGTGCTCACCCCTGCCCTAGCTCAACCCCAGCATAGCCAGTTAAGGAGTTATTCAGGCCTGTCTTCTCCCGCCAGCCCCACATTCCTGGAGATATCTGAGCAAGTCCTGGAGTCTGCACAGGGTGACTGTTTTGTTGTACGTGCTTGGCCCAATCTTTTTTTGGTTCATCAATATCAAATAATGGGAGCTCACCAGATCTTACCTCCACCTTTCACCCTGTGGAGATATCATAGCACTTTTATTTCATGGCACTTGACTTTGTTTATTCGGTGGGATCAGGGCAGCATTCAGGCTGTAGTAAGTCTATTAAACATTTACCCATGAGGTTAATATTCATCCATGAATCAGCAATTACCAGTGTATGACACTGGATGTTAGGTTTTGTATCCTCACAAGCTAAGAAACTACTGAGTTAAATAAAGGGTGAAATGAGCATTCTTTTAAAAATAAACTCAGTTAAAACCTGTCTTTCATACACTTGAAGTGCTTCACACATTGAGGCCCGCCCTGCATGTCTAGCTAACTCATTCAGAAGCAGTTAAGCAGGAGCGGTCAGTTCTTCACATCGAAGATCAAGTGCATCTGATTACTGAGGGGTGGGATGGGTGCTGAGGTGTGACAAACATGAAGAGCAGTGCTTGCCTGACTGCCCCTCGGAGGGTTGCAGAGAGATGAGCTGTCCATCACAGTGTCTGCTTTAGCGATGGTCTGAGTCCCTCCAGAAGCCCGTTCTCCTCATCTGGAACCCGACCCAGTGGACTTGAGTGAGCCAGATCAGCTGTTTGTTCCCAGCCCTGCAGTCTTTTGCCATTAAATTCCCTGGTGTCTCAGAAGGCAACATACTGTGTGGTGACAGGTAGACAGACCTGCGTGCCCATCTAGATTTGACCACCAACTAGTTGTGTGAACCTGAGGCAAAGACCTGTGATCGCCCAGCCTTCATTTCTTCACCTGTAAAAGTACAATGATAACTCCTAGCTCACTGAGTTGTGGAAGGATTAAACTGGATGAGGTGCTAGAGCACCTAGCAATAAGTGTTAATTTTTGATAATCAGGGATGCCAAAACACGGGCCTGGCAGCAAACACCTGGCTTTGTATTTCTTCACATCTCTGCTTCTTTCCATCATCATGGGTAGCTTTTGTTTCATGGCTGTATTTCAGAATTGCACAATTCACAGAGGGGTGGAAAGACAGGTACCAAAATCCTGCCACTGGTTCACAGCTCATCAAGGGAGTTTTCCTAAACGTCTTCGGGTTTACACCCAATTTAATCCAATGTCTACACTAAGGGCATCGAAAGCAAGCAATGGTCACGCTGATGACTCATTAATGTCACACTGAGTCAAGTGCTGTCTTATACTGTCAGTTGTCAGAGCTGTTGTGCATCTATCGTCTGAGTAGAAAACGTCAGTATCAAATATTTCCACTCTACATCAACTTTCTCATATCACCAGGCTTTTGTTTGTTGGGATTTTTTATTCCTATAAACAAACATAAAATTATCTTTACCAGAAAAATTAATTCAGAAACCTGTAGTTAGTACAGGATGAATCTGGACTTTCAGTAGTTAATTGTGTTCCTCTGTATCATGAACCCTAAACCAGCTCTAGGCTCTTTAGATATGAATTTTGGGGCGGTTGCTGTGACAACCTTTTCTTTGATTCACAACCTTGTAACTGGGGGGGACTCAGATAATAGCAGTCACAGGATTAAGCAATTTCGGAGTGTTTGTTTTATGTCTTACCATATGACGGAGTTTTTTCAAAGGACTTACAGAAATACATTAAAATAAGAAAAACAAACTAAGGCCAGATGCAGTGGCTCATGTCTGTAATCCCAGCTACGTAGACAGGAGGATCATGGTCCAAGACTGGCCCCAGGCCAAAAGTGTAAAACCCTATCTGAAAAATAATTAAAGTGTAAAGGGCTGTGGATATATGACTCAAGTAGTAGAGTGCTTGCCTGGCAAGCATGAGGCCCTGAATTCACCTAGTACCTCAAAAAGAAAAGAAAAACAAATGAGGATAAAAGGGAAGATTAAGGGTGATAAATGAAATGCATGCTTCAAATTTCTGAATAGTTTCTTCTAATAATTGTATGTTGGTTAATTTAAATAGAAGTTTTACCTGTATGAAAGTTCTAGAAACTATTTCTGAATCAACATTGGATCTTAAGTGATTGGATCAATGGTTACCAAATACACTTTTGTGATTGGGTTGGGTTTTTTTTGTTTTGTTTTGCAGTACTGGGGCTTGAACTCAGAGCCTTCACCTTGAGCCATTCCACCAGCCCTTTTTTTTTTTTTTTGTTAAAGGTTTTTTTCGAGATAGGATCTGGCAAACTATTTGCCCAGGCTGGCTTCTCTCTTGATCTCTTCCTCCTGAGTAGTTCATTTGTTTTATTCCTTTTTCTTGCATACCTTTTAGAATATAGGGTTACAAAACTGATAAACTATAGAACTAGTCTCTTCTTTGCAATATGACATTGATTCATATTAGTTCAGTTCAAGTGTTTAATGAATAACTTATTTTCGTCCAGCCCTGAATTGGACATCATGAGGAGTATAAAAGTGTATTTGAGTAAGGCAGACAGCCCATTAATGTTGTATGACATTCACTTACACCAGTCAGAATTTACTAATTTGTACTGTTGTGTGATAAGATCCTTAGTTGTTCTTAATGGTATGGCAATGTAAGAAAATGAATTAAAACACAGAAATTTAATCACAAAATGTCACCCATACTCCCATCATCATTAATCTAAGGCAGTTGGCGGCCACACGTGGACAAGAGAAGCCAGTTCTGTTTGGGGCATCACTTCCTAGGCTGCTTGAACCTAAGAGAAGTGTTCCTTGTGTTCTTGTCCTTTCAGTGCACTCGGAGGCTCCTCAGCCCTGCACATCCCAGCTTTTCCAGGAGGAGGATGTCTCATCGATTATGTTCCCCAAGTGTGCCACCTGCTCACCAACAAGGTAAACACAAGTCCCAGGACCCCTCGGTCTTGGGAGACTCCTTCCTCCCACACACCACAGCCCCTGGTGGTTCCTGCCACCTCACTCCATTTTCTTACTTTAGCTTCCGTCTGACATCTGCCTCACCTGCTTTGAATTACAATTCATCTGTTTCTTGTGCTATTTCTTTGTCGTTCTCTTCCTTTTCTGAGTATCCTGACTTCTTATTTCTCCCTTAGCTTCATCTCTTCACGTTATATCTGGATATTTAAGTCACATCTTTCCTAAGTTTCCGTTATTCCCTAGATCTTTGCTACACCTTGCACCTTCTTACGCTATTACCGAACCTGTGAGCCCTTCCTTCCCATGGCTGTGCTCACCACTAGTTGCTATCAGGGTAATTCTTTAAAGATGCTTCGCTGAACCTTACCTTTTAATCTCAAGTCCTTGATTCTTCCTTTCATGTCTAGGAGTGGTTCACCTAACGTCAAAGAATTCCAGGTCAACTACTCCTCTATCCAGCCATACCAGATTATGTAAAGCTTTCTCTTAGCTGCATTCATGAGCCTTTGGGCTACACTGGCAAGCAGCTGAATTCACTGTAATGGTGGTTGTCAGATGTTTCCAGAAGGTGTAAGAATGTACTTGTCAATGTCTAGCCAGCGTACTTACCTGAAAACTAGAGATAATGCACTAGCGACCCTGGCTCTCTTTCCTCTCCCACATGGACTGTGACTCGGTTTGTTTAATTGCCGAAGTGCTATTTTCTTTGCTCCTGTTGACTCGTTCAAATAGATCTTCTGTGTATCTCTGTCATTCAGAAGATGATGCGTCTCTATATAAGAAATATTTTAGAATGCAATAATATTTCAGAGGTTTCAGTAATATTTTCCAAATATCAGAGAAACTGAAATCTGGCAGCTTCGCAGCCTGTGGGCCTGGCCCAGATTCCAGAGCATTTAGCTTTCACAGAGTCATGGCTTCTCCTGAGACCAGATTCCCCCAGCCACTGCCCTCCTACGAGACAGAGCAGAGGGCAGAATTCTTATTTACATTCTGGGGCTTTGCACTGCCTTCAAATCTGTGCCCCAGAATTATAGAGAAAAATGCAAATTGGGTCTTCCAGAACTGAGAAGAAAAGCCTTTTTAAAGCTCTCCAATTGAGATTATTTTCTAGCCATACATTTTCCTCAAAAAAATTATAATATCATTTTCCCAGAAATGTAAGAATCAGTCAGTTTTTCTTATCTGGTTCCCTTTCATTAATTTTACTTGTCTTTTAAAATTGGTGTTCTTCTGTGTGCTCTAACCGAGGACAGTATGGGCTGCTTTTAGGAACAATCTCTTCAGATGAATTTCCATAATTACATTGGAATCTATCTTTATAGCCAGTTTTGTTGTGGGTTTCTGTTAAAATGATTTTCTGTTTTTAAAATCAAGTACACAGAACTGTTTTCATCCCCTTTTTTTAAACAAAGCCACTTAAGCAAACTTATCATCTGTTTTTCTTTTCCGAAAATAACATTTCTGATCCTGCATTAAGCCTGTAAAGTAAGCGCTGTTTTTGTAAATTGACATAAACCCCATTATATAAATAGAATTGTTTTACTTTAACAGGGTACAACATGACTATCTGTACCAGTTGTGTCAAGGTTGTCCCAAGTGCTTTATCTTGAGCTTTCATTAGCCATGGAAACGCAGTGTGTGGCCGCAGGCCATGTAAACAGTTTGGGGGTCTCTCTTTCCCTGCTCCTTTCAACCATTGTAAGAAATGTTTTTGCAGTAGAAGATGGTGCATAAATGACTAACTTTCAGTTGCCTAGCTTAATGAGTTCACAATTTTTTTTATAGAAACTGTCACTTGATGGTAACGAGGAAACATAAAAAGGCAAAATAAAATCTATTGTAATGCTTCTCATTCTAAATGTTAGGATTTTTAAAAGAAAGAATTAAGCATTATCTTACCTTTTCAATAGGAGTTCAAAATAACCACAAAACCTCAACTGATGAGAGAAAGCTCTTTACAGAGAGTGTCAGCTGATACTAATGCAAAAGGAATGATAGAATTGTTTAAAACCCACCATTTTGCAACCCCCTAATGAGTAAGTCAGAGAAGAATCTCCCAACAGATACTAAAATCATTAAGCGAATGGTTGGTGTTGGTGGGGAACTGGGTTTTCATGTACTTCGAGAGGTACACCTGTAGCTTACTCACTATGGGGTGTGGGTGTGGGTGACACATATGATATGTACTCACTACAGCAAAGGGAATATCCCTTTATAATAGAGCGATCTGGCTGTCATCTTAACCACACGCTGAAACCCAGTATCACCTATGAAGATTTCTTGCCAAAAATGTTAGCCTGAGTCTGACCACGCTGGCAGCTCTAGCTTCAAGTTGTAGGACACACCAAAGGTAAAGGAAGAAGGAGGGAAGCAATCAGAAAATTCACAGTGTCTTTGAAAAGGCAGTGTTGGGCATGTGCAGGCACACACATACACACATGCACACACACTCCAGGGGGTACTGTTATTGTAGAATGAAGGACTTAAAAGATATAAACAAATAAAATATGTGGTCCTTGATTATACATTGCTTTTTAAAAATGTTTGGGGGACAGTTGGGAAGAATTGAACAAGGACAGGGTACCAGACGATATTAGAATGACTGCTAAATTTTTGGGGTATGATAATGGTATTTGTGGTTTCGTAGGAGAATGTTTTATTTTTTGGAGTTGCATACTGAAGTATGTAGGGGTGAACTGTCATGATGTCTCTGATTTCCTTTGAAATGTTTTAGCAAGACTGATTGATAGCTTGATAGATGGGTAGGTAGATGGCTGGATGAAGCAACGAGGCAAAATATTCATAGTTGTTGAATAGAGGTGGTGGGAATATGGGTGTTCATTTTCTTATTTTACTTCTCTGAATCGCTGAAGCTTTTCAGAATAAAGCATTTAAAATTTTTCTTTGCTAATTCTGAGCTTTGGGTTCCTGTTCCAGGTGCAGTATGTGATTCAAGGCTATCACAAAAGAAGAGAGTATATTGCTGCTTTCCTCAGTCACTTTGGCACGTAAGTGCTGCCCTGTCTAAACCTTACACCAGCCATGACCCTCACATGGGGTATAATTAAGAAAACAGCACTTAGTTCTTATGTATGAGCCTTTTTTTTTTTTTGGCAGTACTGGGATTTGAACTCAGCACCTTGCATTGCTAGGCAGACACTGTACCACTTGAGCCACTCTGTCCTTTTTGCATTGTTATTTTTCAGATAAGATCTTGTTTTACGCCTTGGCATCCTGAACTTCAGTCTTCCTGTTTGTGCTTCCCTGCATAGCTACGATGATAGGCGTGTGACACTGCACCCAGCCATTGATTAAGATGAGTTCTTGCAAACCTTTTGCCTAGGCTGGCTTCGAACCAAGACTGAGTAGCTAGGATTACAGACATAAGCAATTGCATCCAGCCTTACATATACTTTTTCAATGGCATTTTGATATTTTGCTTACTCTAAAGCTTCCAAGTGACATTTTTTTTTAGCTTTTTTTTTTTTTTTACATTGTTGGGGCTGGAACTCAGGGTCTTACACTTGCTCTCAGGCACTGTTAAGACTTGAGCCACCCCTCAAGCCCCTGCCCCCTCTTGAGCATTCTTTAGCAAATAACAAACAGTTACTGCCTCTGGCAGCAGCGTGCCTGCCCAGCACAGCAAGCCTAGGAGTGAGGCCCGCAGCAGGCACAGGAAGAGACCCTGCTTGTTGTTGGGCTTTAGTAGTTTGCAGAGCATTTTCCCCTCTGTGGTCTCCCACAGCAGGCACTCGTGACACATCTTACTGCAGTCAGCCCTGAGCTGTGGAAGATCATTAGTCACATACCTAGAAGAGGGGTTGCCAGGGCCGGAACCCCGTTTCTCCAGGATTTCGGGTCTCATGACAGGAGGATCGCTCACCAACAGTGCCTCACGGATTTGGGAAGAACATCTAACATTAGCCCCAAAGTGGTGACTCACACTTGAGAGGGGGAGTTGGAGCATGGAGCTGAGAGGGGGGAGGGAAGTGTGGAACCGCAGGCGCGGCACAGAGGGGCTACCTGCTCCTCTTGCCCCTGCTGTCCTGCGTGGGTGCCCTTCCCTCTGGCTGCCAGGCTGGGTTGCTCTGTGGTCCTGGGTGCTTTAATGCCATCAGGGCCTTTGCAGGCTTCTGCTAGGGTTCAGCATGGAGGACAGAAGTGCATTTTCCTCATGGTCTTTAGGAGGTAGAGCACTGTGGCCACTGGGGGAACTAAGTGGTTCCAGTGGTTGAAAAATAGTGTGTGTGTGTGTATATATATATATGTGTGCATACGTATATATGTATGTGTGTGTATATATATGCATACAGTAGGATAAAATTTAGCTTTTAAAAAAGTAAGTAAAGAAAATAGAAAGGAAATTAGGAATAGGAAAGAGAAGATGAAACCAAGAACAAGACTGGCCATTCCCTGGGATATAATTGTCATAGTATGGCACAGTTATAAGCAAAGTTTCTTTTTCTTTGTGGCAGTATTAGAGTTTGAACTTAGGGCCTCACACTCGCTAGGCAGACACTCTACCACTTGAGGCACTTTGCCAGCCCTTTTTTTGTGATGGGTTTTTTCAAGATAGGGTCTTGTGAACTCTTCGTCCACGCTGGCTTTGAATCATGACCTCCTGATCCCTGCCTTCTGAGTCACTAGGATTACAGGCGTGAGCCACCAGTGCTGGGCTAAGTAAAATTTCTAAACAATGTCAAACATTTCTCTCATTAGCCATTACCGAGCTTTGCATTATCCAAAGTAGAAATGTCAATATCCGGACAATGTGACTGTGTCTCACTGAGTCTTTCATATTTAAGTTTTTCACAGACCAGTGGAGTGGTTCAAGTGGTAAGAGTGCCTGCCTAGCAAGTGTGAGGACCTGAGTTCAAAGCCCAAGGCTGCCAAAAAAAAAAAAAAGAAAAAAAGGAAAAGATTTTTTTTCACATTTATGAACATTTTGAAAAAATAGTTTAGATACAGCAATTAAAACATTTATACATTATACATAGTCTAGACCACAATCCTATTTATGCTTCCTACATTCTTGGGGTGACAGTCACGTGCCACCACACCCACTTTTTATTGGTTGAGATGAGGTCTCACTGACTTTTTGCCGGACTGGCCTCGAACCTGGATCTTCCCTATCCCTGCCTTCCCAGTAGTTAGGATTACCAGCATGAGCCAGTGTGCCTGGCCTGGTCTAATTTTTTAGTAAATTATCCTTAGCATATATAGTTGAAAAGAAAAAGCTAGCACAATGACCTCCAAAGTGGGGTGCATACACCCTAGGGATTGCACATTGGTGTACAAGAAAGATAGGAAAGTTGAGTTTATATTTACTTTTAATATCATTCTTTTTAATGCACATTTTTGTGTATTATTATGCTAATAGTACAATACTATAGTAGTGCTTATACATAGTTGCTACTAAATTAAAAATAACTGCTACCGTGTCACTGAACTGTACCCATAGCACAAAAACCATTACGTGCTTGATGTTCCTATGGGGTGTAGGGTCTGAAAGTTTAGACGTTGATGTTACATTATCACGTTGATTATAAATTCATAGGGAGAGCAGAACCATTGACATAAGTCAAATCTGAGTGACATTCGAATTGTCCCTGAACATGTCAACTCAGCCCTCAGAATCTTAGCTGCTACCCTTTACCAAGCTGGTCATCAGGACCAATGGGCAGCCATCTCAGGACATCAGAGCCCTCCTTGTGTGGAATTATGCCTTGTGGCTTATAAACCTGAGGCTGCAGAGGTTAAGTGATTCGTCAGAGGCTGCAGTAGGCAGTGAGTGGCAAAGCTGTGTCATAACCTAGTGCTCTCACCCACACACCCCATGCCTTCTGATGCTCACTCACCTAAGTCAATCTGAGGTTTGGTAGCCCCAAACTCGTGAGTATGTTCTTACCTGGTCCCATCTCTTAGACCTCATTTTCATGAGGGTTTTGTTTGTGTGTGTTTTGTTACTTAGAGGTGTCGTGGAATATGATGCAGAAGGCTTTACGAAACTCACGCTGCTGCTGATGTGGAAAGATTTTTGTTTTCTTGTACACAGTGAGTATGCTTTTGTGATCAGCTTATCAGCATCTATGTTAGAACATCCTAAATGACATGTCGTAACGTGTACGAGAACCTTCACTGTCCTAACTTTGTTCTTTTTACTTTGGCACGTGTGTATTTGTTGTGGGATCATAGAGAGAAAATGTTTATAAACCTGTGTTTCTCAGCCCCCTGAGGGTGCATCTGGCAGTGTCTGGAGGCATTTCTGATTGTCACACCTTGGGGAGGAATTGTTACTGACTCCTGGGGGGTAGAGGTCAGCCCCTCCTAGGACGGTATCTAAAACGTCAGTATTGCCGGAGACAGGTTTCTGGTTCAGAACATCTTTCAGGTCTCAAAACTTAGAGGGTGACTCAAAGCATACTTGGTTTGATCATTTGCTCATGGCCCTTAGGAAGGGAAAAGTCCACGACTTTGAAAATATGGAACCCATGACTTAACAGGCGAGGCAGCGTGTCGATGCGTCCCCGATGTCACTTCTCAGTGTAAATGGTTGCTGTGTTGGATTAATCCATTTGCCAATAAACATTGGTCCAGCGTTCGCTTGATGAACAATTTAAATTTTGTTTATTTCCTTGTTATATAAAGACCTGTGGTATCAGGTTCAAGCTGTGAGTCAACCAAGTCTTGCTTCATTCTTTAGTAACTTGTTACACGGTATGCACGGTCTTCAAGTCAAAGGTCAAGTAGCCCAACTTGAGATAGAGAAAACAAGTGAATTTGAATCTGCTCTGCTCAGTAGGTAGAACTTCCCTCATACCTCAGTAAACAACATCAAAAAGGAGCACCTTGGCCCTGTGCCACCAAGGTGTCAGACAGTGTAAAGACACCAACTTTTGGAAGGGTTTCTTCCCCAGTAGACTTACTTTATGGTTGTACATTACTTAGGTTAAGCAGTTTTCAGGTCAAGTGTGGTGGCTCACATCTGTAATCCCAGCTACTCAGGAGGTACAGATCAGAAGGATCGGAGTTCGAGACCAGCCCAGGCAAAAAGTTAGTGAGACCCCTTCTCAACCAATAAGCCATATGTGGCAGCACTTGCCTGTCATTCCAGCTATGTGAGAGGGGTAGATAGGAGACGGTGGTCCATGCTGGCCCAGGCAAAAACGCAAAACCCTATTCAAAAAATAGGGACCTTGGCTCAAGTGGTAGAGCACCTTCCTAGCAAGCACAAGGTCCTGAATTCAATCCCTAATACCGAATAAATAATTAAATAAAATAGTTTTCAAAAACAATTTTTGGACAGTACTAGGGTTGAACTCAGTGCCTCACTTTTGCCAGGTAAGTGCCTTAACAGTTGAGCCACGATCCCTGCCCTTTTTCCTTTTGTTTATTTTCCAGCTCAGGTCTCACATTTTTGCCCTGGGCTGGCCTTTGACCACGATCCTCCAGCCTCTCTGCCCTGTAGCTGGAATTATAGGAGTGAACCACCATGCCCAGCTTGTTTTTTGAGATAGGGGTCTCGCTAACTTTTTTGCTCTGGTTGGCTTTGAATTGCAGTCCTCCTGATCTCCGTCTCCTGAGTAACTGGGATTATAAGCATGCCCCACCACACCCAGCCTTTTTTCCCCCAACCTGATTTCATTCCAGATAGTAAGGGAAGAAGCCCCCCTACGTCTATAGTGTGAGAGAAGACAGCTTGAGGGAAGCCTGTGCTGACGCACTGCACAGAGTCCTGCGCATTCGGTGCTGCACGGCAGTCACCACTTTGCCATGCAGTGTTTCCTACTGCACTCTCTACTTGTAACTCGTCATACATTGGGCGGTCTTTTCAAATGCATCTGGAAAATGCAAGCCTGCCAGTCTACGTTAACTATGTGCAGGGAGACAGAATTGGAGAGAAAGCTTTTCAAGCTGGGTGAGCTTCCAGTTGCACCTGGTGAGATCACAAGGTCAGGCCCTTGTTTTTCCTCCTGTGTGCACGGGGGACCCTGTCATCAGGCTGGTAGAGATGTCCACATGTGGAGTTGAGCTGACGATGGGGTGGCTGGAGGAGGAGGCACACAGCTAAAGCCTCCTGGCCCACTGCTCTTTGCTCACTGGCATCTCTGGCCCTACCGAGCTGAGCCAAAGTCTCTGACTTCCAGCTGCCACTTTGCGTTCTGACCTGCCGTGTCCTGCTGTGGCTTTGCTTCTGAGTCTCAATCCCTTTGTGAGATATCACTTCCTGTTTGCCTCCCCTTCATCCCACCTCTGTGGTCCCAGTGATTCTCTTCCACCCTGATACCCCAGCCCCAGCCCCTGACAACTCCCCTGCCCCTAGTGTTACTGCCCACACTCTTGGCTCTTCTGACAGATAAGAGCGTCATGACTTGGGACAGGTGCCTGGTGTGATGGCCTTTGCTCAGCTCATGCAAGGCGAGTCTGTATCCTGCCTTGAGTCTCGGTGGTGATGGCCCAGTTCCTCCAGAGTGACTGTAGACAGCCCTATCACAGCTCTCAGTAACCGGGTGAATGCTTCAACCAGTCCCTTCATTCTTAAGTCCTTTTTCCTCAAACTTACTTTTGTCTCCTAGCCACTGTTCTTCTTTCAGTTGATACCAGATCATATCAGACATAAGAGAAAAAGTATATTCTTGAAATTCTTCAATTTGAACCTGTGTTTTCAGTATGCAACTCAAAAAATGTCTATTCTGGTGGTGCCTAGTATATTAGTCTGTTTTCTGTTGCTGTGACAAAATACCCAAGGATAGATACTTTATAAAGAAGACTGGTTTGTTTAACTCTTAGTTTTAGAGGCTCAGAGCCCAAGATCAATGGCCTTCTCTGTTCACTCCCCATTGGGTCACAATATGACAGAGAAACAGAAAGTCCAAGCAGAGAAAGAGTCCAAATGCATCCCTGGTGCTTGGCTTTTTAAGAGCACCACATTATTCTCTTCCCAACTCAGTGCCCAGTTGTCCTAACCACTTTCATTAGGCCTCACCTCTTAAAGGTGCCACCACCTCTTTATACCACCAACTGGGGACCACGCCAACTCCCATCCAAGCTGTGCCAGCTAGCAAGAGGAAGTTGTCACTGGCAGTGACCTTCAGTGATAAAAGAACTTTCTCCTCTTAGCCAATCCTCTTGTCTGCACATTCAGAGTTCATAGTAGCTGTTGGTTTTGAATTTCCTGCCAAATATCATCTCTGGGCTATTGTGGATCCAGAATTCCTTACAGCTTCATCTCCACCTTTCTGTCTTAGTGTTTCCAAGTCTGTCATGCAAAATTGAGTCCCCATGATATTTTCACTTAGCTTGAATTACATTCCTCAGAAACATGGAACTCCTAGGTGCTCCTTAGAACAGCAATAAGTGACCTTGGGGTTTGATTTACTTTTTCCAGAATGTCCCCTCAGGCTTTCATTCCTTTCCTCCCTAGGCCATTTGCTCCCTCCTCCTTTAGTGTCACTGCCCACACTTTTGGCTCTTTTGGCAAGAAACACCAATGCCATTTCCTGCTCCATCACTAACTCGCAGTCTGTCTTTAAATGCGTTATTTCCACCCTTTTGCTTCTTTCTTATCTGCAACACAGGACTTGCTGCATCAGAGTGAAGCTTGGTTAGATAACATGCTTTCCCATCTGACACTTACCTTCCTTGAGAAGCATCTGCTTACTTGGATACAACGCCCAAGGGACCATTTGTTCCTTTTTATTCTTCCATAAAAGTGGGGAGGTGAACATGGGGTGGCAGGGACTTGACAAAGAACATTGCAGTGAATTATTCTGGGATGTCAAGATGGAACAGAGGAGGAAGGAAGTGCCTGGAGATAGAGCCAGTCCTGTGTGGGTGGCTCCACTCCTTTGTGGAGGTTGAAGACCTAGCAGGACATGAAGTAGCATCCTCACGCCCCCTTCCTCTGCATTCTCTCAGGCCCAGCAAGGCTGCATCAACAGGGCAGGTGCTGGAGGGAACTCTGAGCTTTTTGGATGCGAGAGGAGAGAAGCTTGTCTCTCCTGATGCAGACAGCTCTGAATCCAGACTGGTGAAATGACTGAAGCAAGAATGCCTCCAGGGAAAGACACTGTTGATGTTCTGGGACCCCTAGAGACACTGTAGCATCCTGGCATCTGGCAGTTCCAGGAGGGGGTCCACAGTCCTGATTTTGGCCCCAGAGCTTTCCTTCCCACTCACTCCATCCTTCCTGCCTTCATCCAGTATCAGTTAGCAAGAGTTGGAGCTGCAGTGGCATCAGAAGCTTGCTCCATGCAGAAACTTTTAAAGAAAGCTTTTGTTTTGGTTTGGGGTTTTTTGTTTGTTTGGTTGGTTGGTTTTTGGCAGTTTGAGCCCAGGGCCTTGTGCTGGCTAGACAGGCACTCTGCTGCTTGAACCATATCTCCAGCCCTTTTTGCTGTGGTTATTTTTGAGACGCAGCCTCAACTTTTTGCCCAGGTTAGCCTGAACTGCCACCCTCCTATTTTATGCTTCCCACTGTTACTAGGATGACAGGCATGTGCTGTTATGGGCTAGCTTTTTCCTGTTGAGATGGTGTCTTGCAAACTTTTTTGCCTAGTCTGGCCTGGAACCACAGTCCTCCCAATCTCAGCTTCCTGTGTAACTTGGGATGGTAGGCATGCTCCACTGCACCCCACTATTGGTTGAGATGGGGTCTCATGAACACCCTGCCTGGGGTGGCCTTGAACAGTGATCTTCCGGATGTCAACCTCCCAAGTGGCTAGGCCCCTGGTGCCTGGTTTTTAGGAAGGTTTTGTGGCCATGATCTGAGAAGTTTTCATAGCAGTGGAGTGGGTAACTCTCTGTCTGCCACGTTGTTCTTACCTCTTAGCAAGTTGTTAGATGTTGTCTTCAAAACAGCAGCTTTTCAGAATGCTGGTGTCAAGAGAGCCACATAGTAAGGCAAAGTGTCACAGAGCAAGAGCAGCCCTGGGGCAAGGCTTCTCCTGATCCCCTTGAGTGCACTGTAAATAGACACAGGACACCACTGTCTTTGGTAGCAGAGGTGCTGCCTGGAAGGAGCTAGCATTGAGATTGGTGACTTCAAAGACAAT